GATTCGAACCCGCCACCTTAGGTGTACGTGGCTGGCGCCTTAGCCAGTTGAGCTATAGGCGCCGAGCCGACAACTTTCTATGGTGCCAGTGCCCTTGTACTTGCTTTACTCCCATCTGGCTCAACAGTCACATCTACGGAATACAAGCTTCATCTTCCTCATTTATGCACCCTAACAATACTTGCTAGAAATTTCATACTGCTGAATGTCACAAAATGATACTTAAGCACCAAATGGTATTATGAACACCAGACAGGTAAATGACAATATACTGTTGTGATAACATGGGCTGACTGCGTAAAGGACAACTGGTAGAAGAATGAAAGTGGAAACAAATGACTCAGAAGTTTCTTCCCACCTTGTGATACACTCAAGAGAGACAGTATTGTGGCAACTTGGACTGACTCCCATATACTCAGTTCAAAATCTGCCCATTTACCAAAAAGGTAGACAGAAATAAATCAACCTGTACTCCAAGTTCCAAACAAACCCCTCCCAGTTACAGTTAGGAAGGAATCACTATAAATTCTACCCTAAGTTATCAGAAAGTCACTGTTTAAACATTCAAGACAGTACTCTTGCCATTGCTTCCCCCGGCTATGAATTCCATTTTATGTGAAAGGCAAACACAGCGTTAAGTGTATTTTCGGTCAGCTCACAGGAAATCAATCAAACGTTATCCTCTGACAAAATACAACCTCCAACGATGTACATGTAAAGGGCAGGCAGGCCCTGAACTGCCAATGCTCAAGGAACAGCTACCCAAGAAAGAAAGTGACAATGAAAGAATAAACTAGCCCCTTTGCAAAGCCCGGCCACTGATACTTTACTTTTATCCCCTCCTCCTGGGAAGATAGAGCGCAGCCTGGCTTTCTTATTCTTCTCTTCAGGGGCCATGGGAAGTGGTTTGGAGCTGTGGTTGAGCGCTGAAGAATCCCGGTTGTTACTATTCATCCTCAGTGGGGGAGCTGGGGGTTTCTCTTCATTATCCAGACCGTCAGACATTTTCAGTTACAACCAATTTCACAGCTCCTAAAGAGGAGGAGGAGAAAACAGGAGTTAAGGAGAGGTCTGAAATTAATCTAGTAAATATGGGGATTCTAACGACTTAGAAACAAAAGGATTGGTCTCGTGTTTTCTCAGGGTTTGGGTGGATGGATCGTTTTGAGGGTTTTTCCTCCTGGAGGGAAAAATGTAGCCTCTCCAAAGACCCTGATATAATTCTAAAAGAGGAATGCGAAGGCAATCATTAACAGCTTTTCAGTATATATACGAGAAAACATCTAAGCCTCGTGTTTTTCCCATGATGAAACTCTATTTCCTGCCATCCACTCAGTCTTTTAATGAGCAATTTACAATCTTTAAATACTCCATCTTAATGATTGTAATGGTCAGGTGGCCAAATGCCTCAGAGATTGGAATTTACACAGGTTTGACCATAGATTTTTAATGGCCCATAATAATGATTTGTTAGCTGCTTTAACATTGGCACGTCCTTGACATCTGATTCTTGTGTGTGCACCTGATTTGCAAATGCACTCCCTGGTTTTACGGCAATTAACTGAGAAAGCATCCTATACATCTGGCTCTTTCAGCAGAGTTGGAGTATGCTGTTAGGGTAAAAAATACCCATCATCTCCCAAGCATTTAGGAGATAAAGGTGAGCCAAACGTCACCACAAGCAAAGAGGAAAGAGTCACTTTCTGAGCAGACGCCATCATCTTACTCCCTGTCGTGTTTTATGTCCTGGAACGTAGAACCAGGAAGATGACAGAGGCAGCAGGGTAGTAAGGTCCAGTTTGGGTTTTAGGAACTTATTTTCTCTGAATTTCATTATTCTTTAGTATCTTACGTCTAGGTCTGAGTACATTTGGGCTTCATCCCCCTGGAAGAACAAACAATGTAAACTGGAAAAGCACAAACTCCCCAAGGAAATGTATCTGTCTCCAGGTGTTTTCTTACTCTCCTTCAAGGCCATGACACTTACCAGCACAAGTTAGGTGCTAAGAGTACCTTCCAAGTGAATCCCTAGTTTGAATTCAAGGAAAATCAAATCCCTTTAGAAGAAAAACCTCTGTAAGTTTTGCAAGCATTACATGGCACTAATGTAAGAGCATAAGAACTCTCCAAACATGACTTAGCATATCACTTTGTTCCAACAATACGTACTATAAACAAACCTAAGAACAACAATAACAAAAGCAAGTGTCAGCTTGGTGCCTGTAGCTCAGTGGCTGGCCACATATACCAGGACTGATGGGTTCGAACCCAGCCCGGGCCTGCCGAACAACAAGGACAACTATGACAAAAAAATAGCCGGGTGTTGTGGCAGGTGCCTGTAGTGCCAGCTACTTGGGAGGCTGAGGCAAGAGAATTGCTTAAGGCCAAGAGTTTGAGGTTGCTGTGAGCTGTGATGCCACAGCACTCTACCGAGGGCAACATAGTGAGACTCTGTCTGAAGAAAAAAAAAAAGCAACTGTCTACTCATTAACTGTTATAATGAAAGATAATCCATCATAATTCTTTTTGGCCCTTAGTGGTAACAGTGTGTTCTGTATTTTCAGTAATGCCCTTTAAGTGACAACATGGTATATGAAGATTTTAAAAAAATTTACTGTGTTTTAAAGTCTTTCAAATATAGACAGTCCATAATTACTTAAGAATAGATTAGTATCAATTAATAGCTTTTCCATTTGCATAGGTGACTGCCACTAGCATCTATCGGCTTGATCTTGATTTGGATACGAGATCTTTTCTTTCACCTGTCATGCCTTGTATTATCTTAATGAATTAAGATCAATTTTGTATTTTTTTCAGTAATTACAACAGCCTCACACGTTCCTATATAGGTGAAATTGTGTAGTACAGTGCAGGGTACAATTTAAAAAAGGAACTGTTGGCCAGGTGTGGTGGCTCATGCCTCTAATCCCAGCACTTTGGGAGGCTAAGGTGGGAGGTCCACTTGAGGCCCAGACTTGGAGACCAGCCTTGGCAACATAGCAAGGCCTATCTCTACAAAAAATTACTTTTCAAAAGTAACTATGATGTCAAGGATACAGTATATTCATAGCTACTCCTTGGACTAGTAAATATTTTAACTAGAACTTACATTTAGAGTTTAAATTTAACCAGTGCTAATGTGTCTACATTCTCTTTTACATTTTGATTTTGGGTCCTTCTAAATTCACTGTTTCTCTAAAATTAAAGCGAGTTTGAGGCTGACTTCACCAGTGTCATTATTCTGTCCTGGACAGGTTTGTGGTTTTAATTTAGTCACTGAGAAGAATTTGCCACCAGAAACTAGGGTGCTAGGTTTGTATCTTTTTTTTTTTTTTTTTTTACTTTTCTGGGTTCAAAAATAATGTCTGTATATGAAGTGATTATTACATAAATCTCAGGTATACAAAATTGAGTTTGGTCAAAATAATGAAATTTCAAAGTTGTTGCAAAGGAACTCAATGTTTAAATCAAAATACCTAGAAGACAGATTTTTGAAAGATGTGTCTCATGAGGACCGCCACCATTTTCTGGATGATATATATTTTCTGATGACATATTACTGCAGATGACAGAGAAACATGCCCCATGACCTCTTTACAATGATAGACAAAGCTGATTTTGCATAATAAGGCAAGTAGGAGTCTGGGCCAGTCAGGATTCTAGTGCAAGAACAGAATTTAAAATACTATGCTCCTTTGTTCTTGATAAATAGGTGTGGCTAACAGCACAGATGCCTTTTTTATTCTAATTACTCTCTCTGCTCAGAGAAACAGGTAGACGCCCTGCTTCTTTTTAAGGCTGCCTGATGATCCTGACCTTATTTGACCAGGTATAGTTCAGGTTGGGAAGAAAGCAATACTTGGGATCTAAAACTCAAACTATACTCTTTTATACCATCCTAAAACCCCAGATCAAAATTTCAACAACATATGCTTACTGAGGTCAGTATCACAGGCATTCGGCAAAGGACCCAGCTTATCTGGCATGCCTTTCTACTGTCCATCAAACAGGAAGTGTTTCAGTTCCAATTTAACTCATCAGAGCATGATAAGAGGGATTAGAAGAAACCTTTTATGGAGATGGAATAAAACTGAAGAATCTAGGTGCAGTTCCATACCAGGAACTTAGTAAAGCATGAAACCAAACAATCTCTCCGTTTCCCTAGACATTGTAGATATGGCTTTGGTTGAGTTATACCAGCATTACTTCAGTTCTCTACTACTCCTTACAAGGCACAAGCAGCAAGGACTACTGCTTCCAGATACTTCTGATTTGGTAACAAAAGAAGAGTACAGGAAGTTCTTGCTATCTTTAACACAGTTTCAGAAGACCAGTGAAGAAAGGGTAGGGACCCACAAGGAAGCCTTGCTGTTAATGTATTTCTTTCCCAAGTGGGAGGTATCTCCTACTATTTCACAAATATAGAAAGAAAGAGGATTCTATTATGTTATGTTTATAAACAATGCCAATCTACTAAGTCAGGCCCTCCCCTGAGACAGCTCTCTACAAAGGATACTATTAGTGGATTGCTGGTTCAATCTGCCTATGATGTCATTATTTCCAAGATTTTGAAAGAGACTATTTTGCTTGGGGTGCCTGTAGGCTCTATTTCAAGAATTGTACAAAAACACCATTATTCTCTAGGAACCCACATCAAAAAAACCGTCTACCTTTCAAGTTTAACTGTTGTTGTTCACTTCTACAACAGAACAGAAACAGGGGAGTGAGTGGCACATTGGAACTAGCCACAGGGCATTCATTTCACTTTTAGAACTTGGTCCTTAGCATTGTGGAGAAATAGCTAACTTTAGTGGACCAGCAACAGTTTATATCTGTTCATAAATTAATTCCATACTTTCCAAGTAGGATTTTCAGAAATAATTCAAACGGCTTCTGTGGATGGTGTATATTTTTGATCCAGCCCTTGGGACCTAATGTGGTTTACCAGTGCTCTGTAATTACAATTGAAATTCATCAGCAATAAGAAATATTCCTTTAGTTTCATGACAACCAAGGAGCCTGAACACCCCTTGTTTCAGAGTACTAGGACAGATTACCTCTGTTTTTTCTTTCTCCTTCTTTTGCCCTTCTCTCGCCAACCCCAAGTGTGAGGGTGCATACCCACAGGTGAATACAGAAACACACACTACCTGTCACTGGCCTGCCTTGACACAGAACTTCACTGAAAAGCATTTTAGAGAAAGACCATTATCAAGATTCACGACCACTATCGATGAAATGATCAGGCATTACAAACAATTGTCATTATTCTCTCATTCCTCCAAAACGTATTCTTTTAATAAGCGCAGTGCAAAAACTGGAGACTCAGAGAATGCTGACTAGGTTAAAAAAGGAAGCCACCAACCTGTATGGACCCAGAAGGCCAGGGGAAAGGTGAATAATCATGTATAGGCCAAAATTCATACTACAGCATAGGGGGTGGATTAGATACAACCAAAAATGCCAACTGGGCCCACTTGCCACAGGGACTGTACCCAAGTATGTAAAGGATAAGAATCCAGAAATACCAGTCTTACAGCTTGTAAGGTCACCCATTAAGCCTTAAACAATTGAGATAAATATTTTATCAGATCTGATACCATCAGAGACATATATATAGCAACAAATGTGTCTATAGTATTCTGTCTTTTTTCAAAATCTAAATAATTATTTTCATATTTTCCCGATGAAAACCATATCAATACTGTCCTTTCAAAAACAAAAGTCTCGGCCAGTAGATATGTAGCCACGATCTGATGAATCCAGAGGAAATCTTCAAAACCAACAGCCACTCAAGGCTATTACCACGAATTGGCGAGCACACCAATGTTGTTTCATGTCCTTTTCATGTCAAAGGAGAGGAACCAACACAAGACTAAGATGGCGCCTAGGGGAAATTTCCAGGATGAACTTCCTAATGTTTCTGATATATATACATGAAGAATAGGGCTGCAAGAAATCTTTTTTTTTTTTTTTTTGGAGACAGAGCCTCAAGCTGTCCCCCAGGGTAGAGTGCTATGGCATCACAGCTC